ATTGGGAATGCCTGAAGGCCACACTTTTTAAAAATGTATGAGGGAGATGTAGAAATACAGAGGGGGGGGGGGTGTGAACCAGCTATAAATGCATAAAAATAAATTGATCAAATATAATTTAATTATAAAATCACTGTAAGAATTCTATACCTATAAAATGCTTTTTCTGAATGGCATATTGGGTTTTTAAAATTTTATACAAAACTGAACCTAATGAGGCTTTAATGACCAAACATAATTTGTATGGGACTATGGCTACAAAAAAGAATTAACCCCACTCAATTCGTCAACTTTTGGCCAGTTTCCAATCTCCCCTACTTGGGCAAAGTCTTGGAACGTGTGGTGGCCTCGCAACTCCGGGAATTCCTGGTGGACACGGACTATCTAGATCCGGCATAGTCGGGCTTTAGGCCGGGACATGGTACTGAGACAGCCTTGGTCGCCTTAGTTGATGATCTGCGCCGGGAACTGGACAGGGGGAGTGTGTCCCTGTTGGTTGTACTGGACCTCTCTTCGGCCTTCGATACCATCGACCACGGTATCCTTCTGGGATGCCTCGCGGGAATGGGTCTCGGGGGTACTGCCTTGCAGTGGCTCCGGTCCTTTCTCAAAGGTCGCTCCCAGAAGGTGTCACTAGGGGACTCCTGCTCGACTCCTTGGCCATTGCACTGTGGAGTCCCGCAGGGCTCAATACTGTCCCCTATGTTGTTTAACATTTACATGAAGCCACTGGGAGAGATCATCCGGAGTTTTGGGGTGCGATGTCATCTGTACGCAGATGACGTCCAACTCTATCACTCTTTTCCACCTACCACTAAGGAGGCTGTTTAGGTCATGAACCGGTGCTTGGCCACTGTCTCGGACTGGATGAGGGACAACAGATTGAAACTAAATCCAGACAAGACAGAGGTACTCCTGGTCAGTCGTAAGACCGAACAGGGTACGGGGTTACAGCCCGTGCTGGACGGAGTCACACTCCCCCTAAAAGCTCAGGTACGCAGTCTGGGAGTTCTCCTGGATTCATCGCTGAGCCTGGAACCCCAGGTCTCAGCGGTGGTCAGGGGAGCTTTCGCACAATTAAAACTTGTGCGCCAGCTGCGTCCGTACCTTGGGAGGGCTGACTTGGCCACGGTAGTACACGCTTTGGTTACATCCCGCTTAGATTACTGCAACGCTCTCTATGTGGGGTTGCCTTTGAAGACTGCCCAGAAGCTGCAGCAAGTCCAATGCGCGGCAGCCAGATTACTAAGGGGGGCTGGGTACAGGGAGTACACCACTCCGCTGTTACGCCAGCTCCACTGGCTGCCAATTAGCTTCCGAGCACAATTCAAAGTGTTGGTGTTGACCTATAAAGCCCTAAATGACTCCGGCCCTGTTTATCTCTCCGAACGTATTCTCCCCTACGAACCATCAAGATTACTAAGATCATCTGGAGAGGCCCTGCTCTCGGT